TGGTGATTTCCAACTGAAACACTGTAGGTACGATACAAGTGAACAGGTTAGAGAATCTCGACTACAAAGGTTCGATATTTATACTAGTACAAGTCCGTGTGAATCGCCACGTCATATAGGTCCGCCACATCAGCCTAAGAGTTCGTCTGCTCCGCCGAGCCCGAGCCAAGCCACACCGCGGTAGTCCATATTCGAACGAGATAGTGTGTCCGCAGTCCTTTCCTACGTGTCCAGCCCACTATCGTACGTGTCCGAAGTATGTATACGTGTCCAATGTAAGCATACATGTCCGTGAGAGAAAGGGATATGTTTATAGAAGGGTTTTAAAGGGATTTCAGTGACCAGGGGTCGAGCCGAAGTCCGGGTGTGCGTCGCCTTACTAGGAACGCGGTAAAGGAAAAGAAAAGAAAAAGATACACGAAGTAACAGAGAAGAAAAAGTGTCCATAACATTACCCCCCTTCTACGCATCAAGTTCGTCCTCGAACTTACCAGGGCCCGAGACTCTCGACCTCCCATTCCTTGCTCAACGTCTTCGCCTTCCACGCGTCTAACCTCGCCCACCACTTCTTGTTCGTCTTCTTCGCGAGTGTCGGGCACGTCCTCTTGCCATGTCCGTGACGTTTGCAGTACCAGCATCAACGAAGGTCGACTGGTTCTCGTGCTCGACGGGGGACGGTGGCGTAGTAGGGTTTCTTGGCGGTCTTGCCAAAAAAAGCCGGGGTGAGGGGTATGGTGTTGGCGTCAGTGACTGGGGCGTGCTCGTAACGAAGGTAACGACAGTGCTTGCAGATGGCTGAGCTGGGGTGGAAGCATGCACGGGTGCAGGGGGTGGGATGATCGCGGGTGGATGGTCGTTGATTCGGTGGGCGAGTCGGGGAGGACTCGGGCTCCGTTTCCTCTTGCGCGTCCTCGTACATCTCGACGTCATCATCATCTTCTCCCTCTCCTCCTGTTCCCGCAGTATGTCCTGCGCCACCTCCATTAGCGTTTTCCTCATCGTCGTTGTCATCGTCATCGTCATTGTCGTCTCCTCTCCCATTCCCTGCCTCATGATCGGCTGCCTCTCTATCACGATTGGCACGGGCTCGGGCGATGGCCTCCTCGGCTCCCATGTCCTGGAGGGCCAAGGCGATGGCGTCTCGTTCCCAGTATCCGGCTCCGAGTCGTCTTCTTGCCAGGGAGAGCTCCTGTTTTCGGGCCTCAATGGCGCTGGACTGGGCATCGATCTCGGCCTGGACGCGGCGATAGGCAAGGGCTTGAGCCTGGATATCGCGGTTTGGGACGTGGGCGAGGACGTCGATGAACTGAGTGTTGTTTCGGACTCGGGTGAGGTAGTCGTGAAAATAAAGGGGGAGACGAGGTAGAACGGAGGCGGGATAGTATGAAGAGTCCGTTGTGCCGGTCTGAGAGGAAGGCTGGGGTCTAGCAGGAGGATTGTTGAGGGTGTCGGAGTCCGAGTTGTCGTCAATGGGGAACCGAGCGGTTCGGACGGGGGAAGGTGGACGAAAGGGTTGAGTCGAGGCCTCGGGTTGAGGCTGGTGGTAAGGGGTTTGGGGGCGAGCTGGCATGAAGGGAGTAGGAGGACGTGGGATGTAAGGGGGTGGCATCTGGTCTTGAGTGGGTTCCTCTGCTTGATGCATGGCGCTCGCGCCATTAGGATCGAGAGGAATGTGAGCGAGATTTATATTATGGGGGGAGCGGGGGTTAACAATGGCACGGCTTATGCTTAGCTGCATGGTCGTGGCTATCCCGTAAAAGGGGTGACGGCCTTGTGCAGTGTTGTCGATGATGACATTGACGAGCTGATTAGCTCGTTCGAGGTCAACGCGAAACTGGTCCCTGGCAATCAGGTTGGACCTGACTGGGGCTCGGAACTGGACCGTGTTTCCCCCGATCGGGAATAGGGCGGCTTGGGTGGCTGTGGGGACTTCGTTAAAGGATAGAGAAGGGACCGTACGAACTCCTTCGGCATTGACGCGATACCCTTCTTCATTAATGTGAGTGGCTTGGTGGGGGATATTCGTCCTTTCACGAGTAGGGTAGGCGTAGACTTGCAGACCCGACGCGGTGAGGTCTTGTGTGACGGCGGCAACGTTATGAAGAGGACGGAATGGAATGTTGCGATTGTTGGGGAGGGTAAGTGGAATATTGTACGGGCGAGCATCGGGAGTGGGATTGGGCTGACC